GTTATTTGCGTTTCTTATCTATCATCAAAACATGAATTATCGATTCTATCATATTCCCCCTTTTTGATGAAGACAAACGTGTAACGTGTGATGCATGCGCAAATACTCTTCCCCCTTTTGACAAATCAAAAAGAATCCAACAGTGGCTAAACAAATCCAATCAACACCCATAGCAACAAAATAAGCACAGCCAGTTGAGCAATATAAAATGTTTTGGCAACAAAACAAAGAGCAACAATACAGAGTGAAACCAACTAAGAGAACCAGGTTCAAACAACATGCGTTTTCAATGTGGAGGTTGACCAGGCTTAGTTGAAGCAAAATCCAGCATATCCAAAACTCTGTCAACTCTTGCATTGTTAGCAAGTTGCTGCTGCACCAGCTGATCCTTCAACCTGTGTATTTCAGCATTTGAAGAATCAAGCTCAACACGTAACTTCTGGTTTTCTGACTCAAGAGTGGCGTTCTTTTCTTCAGCTACTTTAAGTTCCCTGAGTAACTGAGCAATAGGACCAGATGTACGTGGAGACGCAGTTGCAACCTTCTCCGACTCCATGGGAATGCCACAATCAGCAAGGATGGTTTGAGTAAACATATCTGCACGAGTTATAATCCTGCCTTCTCCCAATGGTACTTCAAATGCATCAAACACTCTAGTCAACAAGTTTCCAAAAGCTAACTGATGAGAACCTAGTTTAGGATCCACAATTCTAGTAAGATGTTTGATAATGTGTGGGCCAATCAATGCGTTCTTTGCACTCAAGTGCATTCATAAGTCCCATGTCTCTTATGGAGGCAATGTGACGTTGGTGACCTCTAGGTAGTATCACCTCATGAACTATCTTGAAAAGAAGCTTATGCAAAGATCTCATTATTCCATTTAAAACAGTTTGAGCCCTAGAATTGACTCTACCTTGAGAGAATTTGGCTGGTAGGCTAGAATATTCATCAAAACCCCAATTGTACTCATTTATACCCACAGATGGTATATGTAAGATTTCCCCAAGTTTGGTTGCATCAAACACAATGTCAACCCTCTTTACACTAGACGATACCACATCTCCTTCTAGGATTACCAAGTTCGTATAGAAATCTACCACTTCCTTTTCATAAATCAAACTAGGTTCAAGGAATAACTCCTCCCACCCCTGAAACCTTAGTAGTTCACAAACCTGCTTCACTATATCCATTGAAAGTATATCAGGGTGAAAGGTTCTACCCCTAAGCACTGTTTTGGTTTGGAAGTACTTTTTCCTTCCCACTTTGAGAAATTTATCTGCATTTCTTTTTGCAGATTTTGATTTTGATTGGGGAGTAGCAGAATGTTTACCCTCAGACACATCATCAGTTTCAGAATCAAGATTCATTGGAGAGACTGATGAATGAACAGGAGACTTACCCAATCGCCGACGCTTCACCCGAGATGTTGCATCATCAGTTGGTTTGACCACATGCGCACTCCTTGTCACTGGCCGGTGTGGACGAACCTTTTTAACTGCAATGTGCTTTCATGGCCGCCTTGGTTTTTTAGGGTAAAGGGAGCTCAAAAGAATATCATCATGGATTGGAGATGGTGGTGGATTTTGAGGAGTGGTTTGGTGAGATGGGGGAGGAGGGGCATTATTTGGAACAATGGTTGTGGGAGATTCTGGGTTTGGTGATAGTGGGGTTTCTTGGGCCGGTGATAATGGGGTTTCTTGGACTGGTGATGGCAGAAATTTGATGATGGATGGTGGTGGGGAGTCTGCAACGACAGGTGAAGATGCCTCTTTAACTGGTGATGGTGAAGAGGTTACTTGTGGTGGTGGAGATGTAGCTTTTGGTGGTGGAGATGGAGTTTTTGGTGGTGGAGATGGAGGCAGATCTTATTTGGATGAGGATGTAGGTGGTTTGGGTGGAAGTTGGCTTTCTTCCCCAAGATTGGATACAACATCAACAACTGGGTTCTCTTCCCCCTGAGAAAATGCACTATCAGACGAACTTTCGTCATCAGAGTAAGAAACAAGTGGATTAACCATGGTGATGGAAGGGATTTTGTTTTCTTGTTTTTCTGAAGAATGAAGATGAGAGAAAGTTGGTTGCTTGTTGAGAGAGAGTGCTTTATTGGGAACGGTTTTGATGTTGTATTCGAGGGCTTTGAGTAATTATGGGGGATTGACATTGAGTAGGCGCGTGCTGTGACGGTTGCACCTGCTTTTCAGAGAAGTGACATGGGAGAGAGAAGATGAGATTGAATTCCCCCAATTTTTTTTTAATTCTTCTTTTTTTTAAATGTAAAGAGTATGTAGAACCAACTTGACTGAACCTGGTTTATATCTCCTTAGAACTTGGTTGGACAGAGTTCAATCTAAAAAGATGAGCCCTAACTCAAGTCTATTTTTCTGAAATGACTCTCTTCCTAGTGCCTTGGTGAAAATGTCAGCAACTTGATTCTCAATTTTGCAGAACTCCATTACTATGTTTCCTTTTTCAACATTATCACGAATAAAGTGATGTCTAACATCTATGTGTTTGGTGCGCTTGTGTTGAACTGGGTTTTTGGCCATTTTCATAGCACTTGTGTTATCACATAGAATAGGAATACAACCTGTTTCTATACCAAAGTCTTTAAGCTGCTGTTTTATCCAAAGAAGTTGGGCACAACATGAAGCAGCTGCAACATACTCAGCCTCTGCAGTAGATAGAGCCACTGAATTTTGTTTTCTTATTGCCTAAGATATTAAACATGGTCCTAAAAAGTGTGCCATTCCAGAGGTACTTTTTCTATCAACCATGTGTCATGCATAATCGGCGTCAACAAATCCCTTTAGATCAAAGGAGTCACCAATTGGATACCAGAGAGCCAAGTTCATTGTGCCTTTCAAATATCTCAAGATTCTCTTGACAACTTTTAGATGTGATTCCTTTGGACAAGACTGAAACCTTGCACATAGACCAACACTGAACACTATATCAGGTCTGCTGGCAGTGAGATATAGGAGTGATCCAATCATACCTCTATATTTAGTGTCATTGACTGGTGAACCTGGTTCATCTTTATCAAGCTTTGTTGTTGTCCCAATGGGGGTGTCATTTGACTTAGCTTCATTCATATCATACTTCTTTAGTAATTCTTTGATATACTTTTGTTGATGAATTGATGTTCCAATTGGAGTTTGCTTAATTTGGAGTCCCAAAAAGAAGTTCAACTCTCCCATCATACTCATCTCAAACTCACTATTCATTAGTTGAGCAAATTCTACTCTTAGTGAGTCATTGGTTCCTCCAAATATGATGTCATCTACATATACTTGGACTATGAACAGATCTTTACCTTGTTTTTGAAGAAACAGTGTATTATCAATTTTTCCTCTTGTATATCCATGTGTGAGAAGGAAAGTAGACAATCGGTCATACCATGCTCTAGGTGCTTGTTTTAACCCATAGAGTGCTTTGCCCAGTTTATATACATGATCAGGATATATGGTATTCTCAAAACTCGGGGGTTGTTTTACATACACCTCTTCTTGTAGGTAACCATTTAAGAAGGCACTTTTGACATCCATTTGGTAGAGTTTGAACTCCATGTGAGCAGAATATGTGACCAATATCCTAATTGCCTCAATTCTTGCTACTGGTGCAAAGGTTTCATCATAGTCTATACCTTTTTCTTGGTTGTATCCCTGTACAACTAGTCTAGCTTTGTTGCGCACTATTTGACCTTGCTCATCGAGCTTGTTTCTGAAAACCCACCTAGTTCCTATCACTGTCCTGTTTTGGGGTTTTGGAACCAGGTTCCACACTCTGCTTCTTTCAAACTGGTTGAGTTCTTCTTGCATAGCACCAATCCAATCAGAGTCTAGCAATGCTTCCTTTGTATTTTTTAGGCTCAATCAGGGACACATAGGCAGAGAATGCACACATACTACGTAATTTGGATCTTGTAGATATGCCTGAGTTAAGAGGAGTAAGAATGTTTTGCGAAGGGTGAGAGATTTGATGTTTCCAACTATGAGTTGGAATACTTACTAGTTCTTGAAGTGCAGATGAACCAGTTTCATTAGTAGACTTATCTTCTATTTCAGATGTTTTATCAGAGGGTATGGGTTCTTTTTCCCATGCTTTGGACCTGATGGCTTGGAGCAGGTTCCCTCATTTTGTTCATCCTCTGAATTTCCTTCAACTTCACTAGTATGTTCATTAAAGACAACATGGACACTTTCTTCTACACGGTTTGTTCTTTTATTTAGTACCTTGTAGGCCATGCTTTGTGATGAGTAGCCTAGAAAAATTCCTTCATCACTCATCAAATTTTCCCAAATTGTCTTTGTCATTGTTGTGTATGAAACATACACACCCAAAGACCCTAAGATGTGCTAGATTTGGTTTTCTTCTTTTTAGCAGCTCATATGGTGTTTTGTTTAACACTGATCTGATCATACATCTATTTATTAGATAGCATCCTGTGTTCACTACTTCAGCCCAATAGAATTTTTGAAGTTTGCTTGAGATTAACATTGTTCTTGCAATATCTTCCAGTGTTCTATTTTTCCTCTCAATAACACCATTTTGTTGTGGTGTTCTAGGTGCTGAGAAGTTATGCTCAATCCCATTTGTAGTACAAAATTGTAAGAATTGTGAGTTCTCAAACTCCAGCCCATGATCAGATTTGATGCTGATTATATCTTTGTTGAATTTCTTCTGAATCAGCTTTGCAAAGATTTCAAACATAATGAATGTCTCATCCTTTGTTGCAAGAAACAATGTCCAAGTGAATCTTGAGTAGTCATCAACTATTACAAACACATATCTTTTTCCACCCCTGATTTGTACACGCATTGGTCCACACAAATCCATGTGAAGCAATTCTAGTGGCTTGGTAATTCTTACTGTCAACTTTGGTTTGAAGGATGACCTAACCTATTTTCCTTGAATGCAGGTTCCACATACTTGGTTGTCCTTGAAACTTTTGGTTGGCAGTCCCCTAACCAGGTCTTTAGATATGAGCTTGTTTATAGTTGTCATGCTATTGGTCCCATTCTTTTGTGCCATAGCATGGAGCAATCTAAGACTGCACTTAGACATTTAAGAGTATCTTCCTTGGAGGCAACAATCTTGACTTTGTACACATTCTTGTGTCTCTTACCTAGTAGAACCAGGTTTCCAGTCACTGAGTTTGTTACTCTGCATTCCTTTTCTGTAAAGAGAACGTTGTTTCCTTTATCACATATTTGAGATACGCTCAAAAGATTATGTTGTCGGCCATTCACATAATATACGTTCTCAATTGCATGAGTATCCTTTGATCCAACCTTTCCAATTCCCTGAATTTCACCACTTTTACCATTACCAAAGGCAACGTTTCCTCCTTTGATGTTCTTGAGTGAGAGGAAGCTTCTTTTATCTCCACTCATGTGTTTGGAACATGCACTATCCAAGTACCATTGTTGATGCTTCCTCTTCACTGATCCCTGCAATTTAATTTTGGGAATTAGATTTTGGTACCCAAATCCACTTTGATTTATGCTTAGTGAATGGGTGGATAAGATTTCTTCTGGCCCATCTAGGAAGAGTTTTGACTGTAGGAATTTGTTTTTGCTCATTGGGTTTCTCATGATGAGGTTTTCTCAAGGACTTCAAGTTTTTTTAATGAGCAGTTTGTTTTCTTTGACAATCATGACTTTTATGCCCTACCAGCCCACAGTGCATGCACAGACAATCTATGTTGGGATTTTTTACTTGAGAGCTAGTTCTATCGAAACCTATCCCATGTTTCCCAGATGTGCGATTCTTTTGAATGTTGTCAAGCAGTATGGAAGACCTAGTCCATCTCATTCCATTTTCTGCTTCAGTTTTAGTCACAAGAAGCTCTTTGGAGAGTGCTTCATTCCTTTTTGTTACCAACTCTAGGTTTTTTCTTAGTTCAGTATTCTTGGATAAATGATGAAGATTCTGTTTTTCAAGAATCTTGTTTTCTTCTCTTAGTGATGCATAGTTTTCCATTATCAATTCCCTTTTTGAGTCTATGGTTTTATATGCATCAATGAGAGTGTAGAGTAGGGATTCTAGCTCCCTTTTTGAGTATGAGCTTAGATTGTCTTGTATGTGATGAAGACTAACCTTTTCATTCATATCTTCTTCTTGTTCTTTATCTTCTTCAGAATATGATCCAGCCATGAGTGCTAGTATGGTTTCTTGTGATATGCAGGTTTCCTTTTCTTCCTTGGTTTCTACTGCTACAAGGGCAAGAAAGTCATAATCATCTTCTTGTTCTAGTGCAAGAAGGGACTGGTTTTCTGTCTCATCACCCTCAGACTCTTCTTCAGATGAATTCCCCATTGCTGCAAAGGCCCTCTTCATTGACATATCTGCCTCTTGAGTTGTCATTCTTCTGTTTGAGGGGACAAACTTATCCTTTTTGATGTCTTTGCCCTTCTCAAAATTTGCCTTTTTCTGTTCTAAGGCTTAAAGTGGACAGAATTTGATGAAGTGATCTGGGCTCCCACACTTATGACAAACCTGGTCTTTAATGTTTTCAGAAGGTTTTTGAGAAGCTTTCTTTTGAAAGGTCTGCCCTCTCTTTAGCATTCTGGTGAACCTTTTGGTTATGAAGGCAATATTTTCATCTTCAAAATCATCTAATGTAGTAGATTTTAGAACCAGGTTTCTTTCCTTTCTTTTTCCTCCATTTTCCTTTTCTTGGTTTTTCTTGAGTTCGTATGTGATGAGATTATCAATTAACTCATCCATGGCCAGTGAGTCTAGGTCGCGGGCTTTAGTGATAGCCTCGACTTTGCTTTCCCAAGTTTCAGGAAGGACACTCAAGAGTTTCCTTACTGCCTTTCCATTAGGCACTATCTCTCCTAAAGAGTACATCTCATTAATGATGGAGGTGAACCTGGTGTGCATGTCTTGAATGGTCTCCCCTTCTGCCATCCTGAACAGCTCATTTTGCCTGTTCAAGTTATCAATTTTGGACTTCTTGACTTGCGTTGTTCCCTCATGAGCGGTTTGCAGTGTTTCCCATATGGCTTTGGCATCTTGACAAGACGAGATTCGATTGTATTCATCTGGTCCTATGCCACATATCAGAATTTTCTTGGCTTTGACATTGTTTTGAATTGCAAGCTTGTCTTCAACATTCCATTCTTTTCTTTCCTTTGAGATTTTGGTGATTCCATCAGTTGCGGTTTTCATAGGTATGGTTGGGCCATCTAGAATTACTCCCTATAGATCAGGGTTTTCGCCAATAAGATGGTCTATCATACGATTTTTCCACCATCCATAATATTTGTCATTGAACAGTGGTGGTCGTGTTTGTGAAGCTCCTTCTTGTGGGGTAGGTGGTGCTGCCATTAAGTCTTTTCAAGGTGTGAATCTTTTATCGAAAAGACCTGCTCTGATACCAATTGAAGAAACCTTACCCAGAACAAGAACCAGGTTCTTGTAAGTTGCTTTTAAGTAAAGACACAAACACTTATTAAATTTAAAAACCTTCCTCGCTCAAGGAAGGAAAAACCTCGTTTTATTAATTCAACTATAAGATTTTGTGATTACAACTCAATAATCAAAAGCCTTATCTCTACTACCACCTCGATTGACTCCAATCGATCTCTCCAAAAGGCCAAACCCACCTTTTGTTACAACTCTTACTAACACTCAACCCTACAAAGAGCCAAACCCACCCTTTGTACGATAAACTGTAAATTACAATCAAGAACAAAACAAGAAAACAGTTCTACACGTTAAAAACCTTCTCACTCAAGAATGTTTTAAACATAGAATAATTCTCCCTTTTCTCTCTATGTGAAGTCGTAAGTTTCTTCCTCTGCCTCGTGCTCTTCTTATAGAGTTTCTTTAACCTTGTACAATCCTTATCAGATAAGGTAAGGAAGTTATTGTTACACAAGTATTCCTTTTAAAAGTACAATCCTTATTATATACAACTTCCTTCCTTAATAATATATTTAAGGTTTTCCTTATTTGTATCAACTTGTACCTTTAATATATTAATTTTGGCTTTGACAAATAACTCCATTTTACTTGATCTTGGACTCTAGCTTGACTTCTTTTGCTGCGTACATTTGTTACTGTTATTTGCGCTTCTTATCTATCATCAAAACATTTTTTATCGATTCTATCATATTCTATCAATAATTATATGATTATGAGGATAATTTTAATAATTAATTTAGTTGATGATTAAAGAAAATAATATTAATATTAGTAGTTGACCATTTTCACCACTTCTATAATTAATCAAATATAATAATTAGGATAGTAAATAATCAGTTGAAAAAAAAGAAAAAAAAAGAGGGGAAGAGGAAAATAGCAGAAAGCACTGTTAACAAAAAAAGAACGACCTCGACATCACGTAAGTCATAAAATCCTTAATTTCTCTTGTATTTTATATATATATTGATATGAGTAGTACTATTATTATTATAATAAAATAGATGGTAGAAGAAAAACAAATTGAAAAATAAAAGAAAGAGAAATGTGTTACCATAATTGAACTTGAGGAAATAATAAGTTATAGATAAAATAGGTAATTTGCGCAATGATTATGGCCAATCGTTATATCATTATCGTGGAAAATCATTTTATGTCAATATACATACAGAAGAAGCTGGTAATTGTTAATTGTTAAATATATGTGAAGTATTTTTGGATTAGGATTAAACATCTGGAAATTGGGCTTTACTGAAAGTTGAGTCACAAGTATGGTAACTTGACACGAGTTTCTATTTAGTTATCAATAGTATTTTTAAAATCTTCTAATAATTATAATGTTGTGATTTAAGTTTTAACAATTTAAATAAGTAATTAAATATTAGGTGTATTATATTATTTCAATACAATTAAGTTATGCTAATTGGAAGAATTAAAATTTACCATTAGGTTTGAATGATAGAGAAATTAATTATAGAATTGGGTGAATTTTTGAATCTAGGCTATATATATAGTAATAGGGGTGTCTATATACTCGTTAGCTTACAAATTATGCATTCTTATTGAAAACGTGTAGAAGCAATAATGAAAGGGAAGTCATCGTCAAAGTAGCTTACTTGACGTCAGTTTTTCGGTGAAGGTAGGTTATGGTTTATTCTATGTGATAGATAGACTCTTAATATTAATGAATAGTCATTGAGTGATATTGTGAATATTTCGATGTACTTGGTGGTTGTGGTTTGGATGATTTATGTGGTGCTGTGATTAGTCTAAAATTTTGAGACCGTGAAATTCATAATTTTGAACTTTCTCTATCGAAGTGTTGCCTTGAATAAAGAGAGATTGATAAAAAATATTGTTATTGAAGTGAAAAGTGATGATGATAAATGATAAATTAATAATATTATTGAATCAGGTGTCACATTCCGACATGATATTTTAGATCGGGTGTCACGAGCCACCACAATATTATTGGATCGGATGTCACTTTCCCACATGGTAATATTAAGGGATAACATATTAAAACAAATTAATGTATTCAATTTCAAAGAATCCAATTCCCAAAAGATCTTGGTGTGGAGACATGAGTCCTCATGTGTGTTCTTGATATTGTTGATTGATTTCGTACTTGCTTTGGTGTTGTTGTCACTTGTTCATGTTGGTATTGCTTGTCACCTGATGAGTGTCATAGTTGATTTTATTCTATTACTCATTGCATGTTAGTTTCTATTTTGAGTTGGTCGATGTTATCTACTTAGTACAAAACATCCCTACTTGTCTTTTCTTCATTTTCTTTTGTGGAGTGCAACAAGTGTACCATCAACTTCGACTCGCCCTCAGCTCTAGCCAGTTTCAAGCACATCAAATTTCAAGGTGAGCCATTGCTTCTAGTTCGTACTGGATTCTCTCATTCATGGCATGATCCTACTTACTAATTTTAATTTCTCTAATACTTTTAGACTTCGTATTTTGAGAATAAATATCCTTGATGTGATGACTCTAAGATTTTGGGGATAATATGTAATAGATTTTAGAGGTTTATTTTATTGATTACTGTAATAAGTTTTGAACTTCCTCATTATGGTTGTTATCCATGGTTGAACAATTCATACGAGTTGGTATTGAATTCATTGATTTGCCCCACCTAGGAAGTTTAGTGTCGGTGGCACTCATGACTCATTTTGGATCGTGACACACATCAGGTACTATTGATAATTTAATATTTAATTGGTGTTTTTAAGTGATTTTTTAATTGAAAAATCATGATCGTTATGTTGTAGTATACTATGTTGGGTATGAATTTTTGTTTTACAATTTGAAATACAACGTTAAAATTTAATTTTATAAAATTGAATTTGTCTATAATGAATCTTTTAATTACTGGTGTAAAATAGGTTGTTGTTGTTACTCATCAGTTATATATATATATATATATATATATATGTATGTATTTATATCTTTGGTTTGTTTTGTTGGGTTTTGAGGTTTGGAATAGAAAATATATTTAGTGGTTGTGTGTTTTGGTAATTTATTTGGTGAAATTGATCGTTTTAATTAGCGAAAATAATGGACTGTCAGTTTAATGTAATTCTATTTTTGTCTATGGTGTCATTCAAAGTGAGTTTTTCTAGACAAAATAATGGCGTGCATATTGATCTAAAAAACCAAAAGTATACATATTAAGTACCTTAATTATCACGATACAACAATAGTTTTTTTGCGCCTACATATCAATTTTTTTTTCAAAGTCAGGTTTTAATATTAAAAAAATGTAATATTTAAAAAGCGTTTAATTGGTGTTCCAAGATTTCTGTTGTTCCTTATTTTCTCTAAAATATTTTACCTTTCCACAATTTAATCGAATTGGTTATAGATATATTCTCTCCTATAAATAAAAGGTTTTTTAACAAAAATAAAACTCTCTTTCTACTCATTCTTGTCGACCATTCAATCATCGATATCAACAATTATTCAATCCTAATTCAACATAAAGAACGTCGGGACTCATAAGATATTATTGATAGTTCAATATATAATAGGTGTTTTTAAGCGATATTTCTAATAGAAAAATCATGATCGTTATGTTGTACTATACTATGTCGAATATGGAGTTTGTGTTACAATATGAAAAACAACGTTAAAAATTAGTTTTATAAAATTGATTTTTTAAGACAATTGTTGATATTCATCGATTCCATATTTTTTTTGTATTTATTCTTTGTTTTGTTTTGTAGGGTTTTGAGAGTTGGAATAGAAAGCTTATTTAAAGATTATGTATTTTGGTAATTTATTTGGTGAAATAGATCATTTTTAATTAGCGAAAATGATGGACTGCCAGTTTGGTGTAATTCTGATTTTTATGTGGTGTCATTTAGAGTGGCTATTTTTTTGTACATAATGATGGTGTATATATTGATTCTAAAAAACTTAATATACAAATTATATACCTCAATTACCAATATATAACAATAGACTTTTAGGTTTTAATTAGGGGTGTCAAATGGGCATGTTGAGTTGAAATTGAAAATATTATAATGGGTTGAATAGAAATCGGGTTGGGTCTTGACTCGACCAAGTTTACTTTGGTCTCAAATGGGCTAAAAATGGGTTGCCCAATTTGACCGAATTAATTTTAATAATTTAAAATATTGAAAATATACTTTTATAATCACAATTTGAATTTCCACTCAAGAACTTTTTGTTACAAAAGTAAAAAATGGATAGGTAAATCCCAAAAGATGTTATATAGATAATAATTCATACCTTTAATATAGGTTGATAGCTTAATAAAAAATTTAAATCGGGTTGAAATTAGAGATTGAATTGGGCTCAATTGAGAATTCCTTTCAAATGGGTTAAGCTTGAATGTGTTGATATTGAACCCAATTCAAATTATCTTGAGCCCAACCCTTAAAATTCTGGGCGAGTTGGGCGGCTTATATATGTTTGGGTTCATTTTTGAGATCCATAGTTTTAATATTAAAAATATTTAATTAGTGCTTCACGATTTCTGTTGTTCCCTTTTTTCTCAAAAGCTTATATCTTCCCCGATTTACTCAAAATGATTTATATATTCTCTCCCATCAAGGTTTCTTAATAAAAATGAAGCTCTCTTTCTACTCATTCTTGTCGACTATTCAATCATGGATACCAATAATTATTCAATCTTAATCCAATATAGAGGACATTGGGGCGCATAAGGTATTATTGATAATTCACTATTTTATTGATGTTTTTAAAGTAAT